GGTGCACACCCGGGATTCGAACTGGCGAACCCCAGGCCACTGCAGCGGAGCGCGTGCACTTAACCGGTTGTGCCACCAGGCTGGCCCCTGATTCACGTCTTTTATGACATTATCATTACTTTGGAAATTACAAGGGTTTTAGGAGCTGTATGCCAGCAACAGGGACAAAGACTATATATATATATATATTTTTTTTAACATTACAATATCAAACATCCATAATGTCTTGCTGCAGATGTCTACAAGTCAGTCTCCCTGCAGCTTTACCAAGCAATGCCCACTGCTTTTCCCTGCCCGAGATCCAAATTAGGTAAAACAGAGATCTTTAGGCAGCTCATGACAGGTTAGAACATTGTAAATAATGTCTTCTCTGCTCCATCCAGTTTGAAGGATGAAATTGGGAACTGGGCTCCTGTATTAGATGGTATATTTTGTGTCTTCACTGGTATTCTGTTGCCCTAGGCATCTGTGGATCCATCTCTCTGTAGTTTTCCTGAGCAATGCCCACTGCTTCTTTCCACCTGATATTCAAGTTATGCCACTACCTCCCCCTTCCCAACTCCTGCCTGAGATCCACGTGAGGTGTGAAGAGGTAGACCCTAGACAGGATAGAATATTGTAAATAAGGTCTGTTCTATTCCCTCTGGGTCAAGGGAGGGAACTGAGAACTGGGTTGCCACCTCATCCAGACAAAGACCACACCACACTGGGGAGTGTGTGGGCCAGGAATAAGCAAAAACACCACAGAATTTCCTACCATTTTGAATGTGGCTTTTTCTTGAATGGGTGTTTGCTTGGTTGCTTTAGACCTCTGAATGTTTTACAGAACTACTATAAGGTTATTCTAGCCAATATTTTGGTTGCTTTTGATGTCTCTTTGGGGAAACAAGAGCTTAGAGCTTTCTAGTCTGCCATTTTGCTAAAATGTCTAGGCTTTTAATCCTGGATCTATGACTTATTCACTCAGCCTCACTTATCTCATTTATCTCATTTGCAAAGTGGGTATAATAATTTCCAACTTGCAGGTTCTTCTAAGTATCAGTGTAGCTGGGAATGTAAGTTATGTATCATGGGGCTTCGTACATTGTAGGCCCTCAGTATATAATAACAATTACTTGAGGTTTTTGTTCAAGTAATTGGACAATTACTTGAAGTAAATAATTCAACAATTATTGAATTAAAACTTTTGAGAATGATAATACCCTATGTTTCATCACTAACATCATCAGAGATTTGGGCGAATGATGGAGGAAGCCCTTTGCATTATGTTAATTCTAGGTTCCATTTGGTCTCATAGAAAGTACAGAAGTCTCACCCAGTACTATGTTGATAGCTGCTTTGGGTAACTGCGTCAGAGAATGATTTTGTAATCTTACTTCTACTTGGAGGCTCTTCTAGGTTGGCAGATTGCCATGGCATCTGGACCCAACATGATGGCCCCCATTTGTCTGGTGGAAAACAACAATGAGAAGCTGTCAGTGAACCAGAAAGCTATAGAGATTCTTGAAAAGATTTCTCAACCATTGGTGGTGGTGGCCATTGTAGGACTGTATCGTACGGGTAAATCCTACTTGATGAACCGTCTTGCAGGCCAGAATGATGGTGAGTGTTGTACTGGGTCAGGAGCCAATTGCTTGACTCTAGGTATATCTGTCTTTCTTAATGTTCTTCTCTGGTCCCATGAAGGGAGAATCAAACTCCTCTCAATAAACCAACCTTCTAATTCCAATTCTCACCTCTACATTACTACCTTACTGTAATCTATTACTATATCCTTTGTATTACTCCTGTTAAGGAAAATCTCTCCTACTAATGCTCAGGATCCTACCTTCTTTTACCTGCGGAAGCACTGGGCTCTTGCAATTGCATCTCCTCTTCTCAAAACACATTTTGCTTTTCTATTCTCATGAATGTATAAAATGTTTGAAACTCTATCATAATATTTTCTATTCTCATCAACATATAAAATATTTGAATATCTATCGTCATAAAAATCTTTCCCTGGCTACCCTGCCTCTTTTTTTTTCATTACTGTCTAGAAAAAATATAACTTCAATTTCCTTTTTGCACTTTTCCCTTTCCATGTCTCTCTTCAATCCACTTCTTTCTTTGAACCTCACCATTATTTTGATATGTTCTTGTTATGGTTATTAGTGTCCTATGTTTACTCTTATTCATGGATGCCTCTTAGTCTCCATCTTGAGCCCTTGCTTGGCGTTATTCTCACAGTTAACATTCCCTCCTTCCTGAAATAGCTGACACATAAAGTAGGACATTCTTGACAAAATAGAGAAAGCACCAGCTTGTATGCTAGGGTACTTAGATTCCATCAAGTCTGACTTTGTAGCCCTTTGGCTGCTTAGATTATCTGCTGTCACTGTATGTTGCTTTCTCCTGTTCTCTTGCAGGTTTCCCTCTGGGCTCTACTGTGCAGTCTGAAACCAAGGGTATCTGGATGTGGTGTGTGCCTCACCCCTCCAAGCTGAACCACACCCTGGTTCTTCTGGACACTGAGGGCCTGGGGGATGTGGAAAAGGTAAGGCAGAGAGTCACAGACGGATCCTTTTTATTCTAGATTGTCTCCTTATCGCTTCATGATCCTTTGTAATTTAACTCCTGTGATCTGTTTGTAAAAGCTAGAAATTCAACTGTAGGAAATGAGGCAAACTTTGAGGTTTTTGACTCTTACTTCTAGGTAAGATAAGATATCATGACATATAGATAAAATCTTTTGTTTCTTGGCACTGGGTGAATAATTTGATTTATTTTAATAAATAATTATTCAATAGCTGAGTTCCAAGCCTCTGGGCTTAGTACTGTAGATATTAGTGACCAAAGTAAAGGTCCTGCCCTCAAAGAGTCTTCAGTCCAGTTGAGAAGACCATACATATGTAGTCAGGTTTAATGAATTGGGAAAAAAGCAGGTTGCAGAGAGGAAGAAATTGCACTGCACTGCAATCCTTGACTTCTGTCAATTACATGGATGCTCTGTGGCTGGAGCGGCCCATTTGAATTATCCTGAGTTGGGACAAATGTGCTGTTACATCATTGAAAGGCTGCTCTGGAAGCCTTTCTAATTAAGAGGACCGACACCTGAGGGCTGTCTTCCATCCACACTTCCGACAGCTGGGGAAACAAGCCCTTCAGTCTTGAAAGGTGCTCCAGGCAGTACATCACAGTTTCTACCACATACAGTTAAGCATAAGGGTGCCTTGGGAGGAGAGAGGAGAAACATCAACTCCAGCCCGGGGTGAGGAAAGATTTCTAATTCACCTTCTGAGCTACCAGATGATGTGTGTATTTGAGGGTTGGAGTAAACAGTCAGTTTTACATTTCTTTTTTTTTTTTTTTTATTTGTGTGGAAGATCAGCCTTGCGCTAACATCTGCCAATCCTCCTCTTTTTTCTTTTGCTGAGGAAGGCTGGCCCTGGGCTAACATCCGTGCCCATCTTCCTCCACTTTATATAGGTTGCCACCACAGCATGGCTTGCCAAGCAGTGCGTCGGTGCGCACCTGGGATCCGAACCTGCGCACCCCGGGGCCGCCACAGCTGAGCGCGCGCACTTAACCGCTTGCGCCACCAGCCGGCCCCCAGTTTTACATTTCTTATGCTGAAGTTCATCAACTATCCACAGAGCATTCTGGAAAGCTTTGAGACACCTCTGAATACAGTGGTTCTAGAAAAGCGTGTTTGTCCTAAAACAAACATTTTAAAATGGATTTTTGGTATTTTAGCTTTCTACTAATGGTTGAAATAAATGTACTCTCTTTTTTTGCCTTACTTTGAGACTTATTTGGAAATAGTATCCAAATTTCTGTAGCTCTCCATTTCTGCCCAAATGGTAGTTAGAAATTGTGTTTATTTTTAAAGCCGTATATCGAACAATGATATAGTCTTGTCTAAATAATTTATTGTTTGTCATAAATGCCACTTCTTCTTCTGCTAATTGATTACTTAAAAAAATTGAGGTTTGGAAAAATAATGAATAGATTATTTTCCCCCCAAACTCCCATTTGGAGTCTTCTAAGCAGAAATCTCAGGTTTTACATTTACTCTAATGAACAACTTTACACACTGTTTATAGTAGAAATAATTTCTGGATTATGCTATTGTTTAGACAATGATGCAATTTGTACAAACAAACTAGTCTGGCCTTTAGGGCTGTTTGTTCATCAGGCTACCCTAGCGCTTACCATTCTGCCTTAACTTCAGCACCTACCCTCTGCTACAGTCAAATCAAATAACTCTATTTTTATTTCAAAGAGTCTGCTGTATGCTACCATCTCTATTTTTGCTTCTGTGGGTCTTTCTACCTGCTAGATCACCTTCATTGCTTCAGGTCCACATTCTACCAATTCTTTAACACTTGACTCAAGACTTCAAGGTGGCTTGCATATCATACGCTTGCTCTCCAACTTTCATAGCTCTGTTCTTCCTTGATAGGCTTCTAAATTTTAATTTAATACTATAACTAAATGTTTCACTGCTTATATACCTTACTAAGATGTAAACTCTTTATAGATAATGTCATCTTTGTTGCAATCATTGTTATAGATGTTTGTCATTGCTTTGAAATAGTCATCTTGAAAGTAACAATTGTAATTTTTAACTTTGCTTTTTTAAATCTAAGAACAGTAGGAAACATTTAGTAGCTTTATATAAACATTTATTGACTGGATATAGTTTGAATACTCAGTTATGCCAACTGTGGTATATTCTATATGGCCTATGATTAATAAATTTGTGTAGAATGAGTAAGTGCCAACACTCATCATTAAATAGCTAATTATACACCAGGTACAGTACTAGTTTCTCTATGTTATTTTATTTCATCCAATTGAGGAAAAAGAAAGGCTTATGAAGATTAGAATCCTTTTATATACAACAAAATCACAATCACAAAAATGTCCTTGTAGTTGTCAAAGCTGATGTCTGTATTTATGTCAGTCTTCAACTTATTTCTTTGCATGGTGAGTATGTTAGGTAAAATAATAAATGAAAAACTGATGGAGTAAGTGTCCGAATGAATCTCTAAAGAATAAACCCCTAAATCTCTTGCTCGAATGTGCTTTCTAGGGCGACCCTAAGAATGACTCGTGGATCTTTGCCCTGGCCGTGCTTCTGTGTAGCAGCTTTGTCTATAACAGCATGAGCACCATCAACCACCAGGCCCTGGAGCAGCTGCAGTATCCTTCCAGGAACTAACCACCCAGTTTCATTGAGTTTTGGGGAATGAAGATGGAGTTGGTTGCTTTTTCCCTGTTACTTAGTTGCATTTGGTGGAGCAGAAGGGACCCAGGGCAAAAGATACTACTCATAATACATTTTTCTTAGAGAAATGTGGGAATTGTAGGTAGGGAGTTTCTTTTCCTTAACTACATCCTAGTTATGTGACGGAGCTCACAGAACTCATCAGGGCAAAGTCCTGCCCAAGACCTGATGAAGTAGAAGATTCCACAGAGTTTGTGAGTTTCTTTCCAGACTTTATCTGGGCTGTTCGGGATTTCACCTTAGAGCTGAAGTTAAATGGTCGCCATATCACAGAAGATGAGTACCTGGAGAATGCCTTGAAGCTGATTCCAGGTATCAGAGCATGGCCTGGGCAGTGGATAGTCCAATAGAGGGTGGGATCTCCTAAACACTGTCTATCATCTTTGGAGTTGCATTTGTAATTGAGACTAGATCAAAATCTGTAGAAATGGTGACTGGAAGGTGGGTTGGAAAGCTCTAGAGACAGAAATTTAAGTTCATTTAAGAAAAGTAGAGCCTAAAGTAGAGTAAGATGATTCAAAATCAATTTATCCTGTATACAATTTGTAACTTAGCATACAGATTACAATGAGTCCTAAAACTTTCTAAAGGCCAGACACTTGTGTTCCCTAATTTGGCTTCTGCTTTTCTGTGTTGAGGAAAACAATGGACCAGATACTTGTTAGATTTGAAATTACAAGGAAAAGCTTATCTAAAGAAAAAATATCTTTCATGCACTTAGATATTATCCTTCTGACATACAGATATAACTATCTAATGTCTGCATGGATATATCATCTACAAAAATGTCTTTGTGTGCTAAATAAACCTGAAGAAGTAAGTCTTTTCAGTCTATGCCTTTGCAATATTTCTGATAATTATTAGAACATCCAGTTTACTTTCAATATCATAGCTTTATCTTAATTCCCACATATTTACCCATGCTCTAATTTCAAAGCGATAAATTATTTTTAAGGGTTACAATTATATGGATGTGTATCTGATGAACCTTGAGAGAAATATCAATTCTGATTTATTAATTCTTGCTTTCATGTTTATATTTATGCTTTCTCAAAACATTTATTGAGAATTTGGCTAGGCAGAAGAGCAATGCTGTCAAATCAAATATAGTCCTTTACCTCAAAGAGTTTATAGATTAGTGGTGACATCCTTTTCTTTTTTTATTGCAGTGACATTGGTTTATAACATTATATAAATTTCAGGTGTACATCATTATACTTCTATTTTTGCATAGGTTACATCATGTTCACCACCCAAATACTAATTATAATCCATCACCACACACATGTGCCTAAGCATCCCTTTCACCCTCCTCCCTACCCCCTTCCCCTCTGGTAACCACCAATCCAATCTCTGTCTTTATGTGTTTGTTTATTGGTGTTTTTATCTTCTACTTATGAGTGAGATCATATGGTATTTGATCTTCTTCCTCTGACTTATTTTGTTTAGCATAATACCCTCAATGTCCATTCATGTAGTCACAAACGGCTGGATTTCATCGTTTCTTATGACTGAGTAGTATTGCATTGTGTATATATACCAC